TCTTTGAACTTCAAAACCTCTGGTAGGAACAAATCTGACGTTTCAGATCTTCAAGAGAGAGGGGAAGGTTTACAAAGAAAATTCTGAGCATCATCACTGGGGTCCCAAAGAAGGAGGGAGGAGCTACGTAAAACAGCTGTGGTGAGCTGCCAGCCTCTGCTGAGCTGCCTTCAAAGACTTGCTCCAGACAGTTCATGACTCCGCCTCTGCCCTGCAGCTTCCCCAGGATCACAAGGCTGGTCCCCACAGACATCTGTAAAAACTCTGCTGGTCTTGGAGTAATGAATGGCCTGCTCTCTCTTTACAGGTAAGCCATTTTGCAGAGAAAACAATGGGAGAATTCAATCTAGAGAAGTAAAGGCCATTGAAAAATTATCTAGGCCTCAGTCCCATCTTTACAACCACCAGCTCTATCAGAGGAGCAGGGGCACAAGAGTTTATGGGGGAGAAGACAGGATTAAGAAAAGCACAGTCTGGGTACTGACAAGTGTGCTAGCGCCTGCTGCTCTGGGTCCTCCCCAGGCTAAGTTCAGCATCCCCTGATCCTGTGCAATGCCTGCTGCTCTGGGCCCTCCAGCCCTACCTCCTCTGTGGGCTCGTGTTTCCTCCCAGAAGCATTTTCCTTCTTTTTACTCTTTATTTGTCATGCTAGGAATTGAATCTGGGGCCTCGATCACACCAGACAAGTACTCTCCCCTGAAGACATCTAACACTTACCATCAGAATCCGTATTTAGGACTTCTCTGTCACTCTAATCTGGGCTCCAGGACCCACACTCAATATTCTACCAGTACTTTACAAGGTACCTGAGTCTACTCATTAAATGTTGTGGGGAGCTGCGTCTACAGAACATTAAATGTATGCCGAAGCTGTGGTCAGCTACAAATATATGTCTAGAAAGGCTCTGTCCACATTAACCCTTATGAACGCCCAGCCTGGTCCACTCCAGGTCACCACAGGAGCATATAATAACATGGAATGTGTGCAAGACATATTGTTGCCCTCTTCTGGAGCAATGCCCTTCTCTTCCTCCTCCAAAACAAGAAAAATACACCTTGCAGGTTAAGGGTTCTGTCTGTGGTTAAGACAGTTATCAGTTCCTGTTTGTCCTACATTAAATACTTATAAGCTAAATATATCTCCTTACCCTTGCTCCTTCCCTGTCATTATATCTTTCTAACAATGTATAACAATGACTCTTTTGCCCCCGTAACACCTTATCTCTCCTATTGCCGGGTTCTCTGGCAGAAAGGGGGATGGGCAGAGTCAGACTCTCCCTGGGGCTGAGCAGGATGGTGAGCCCATAGAACCACCCAGCCCTCCCCTGGCTACCGGGAGAAACACACCCACCGAGTCAGGAGTCTGTCAAAGCAGGAACTCCTTTAATGCGCAGGAGCTTATATAGAGTTGTGATGGAGGTGGAGAAGCGTGGGATGGGTTGAGACAGAGTAAGGAACAAGGGCCAATAACATTCTGCCACGGCAGTGGTGGCTTAGCAGAGCCAGGCCTAGGCTGGGTAGCCAGAGACGGTTCTCCAAATTCAAGTTAGGCTCAGGAAGTTACACTGGGCCTCATGCCCAGGCTTCATGAGGCCCAACATCCTATGAAAAGGACCTCAAGAGTCTAGAAAGGCTGCTTTCTCAAATCCTGACTTAGGGTGAGACAGCTAGCTGGAGAGTCCCATGTGTACCCCAAAATATAGCCTGCTTTAACTGAACAACTAAACTGTGCTTTTCTCCTCACATTTAACACAGCACCCCAAACCCTGCACTGCACGGATGCTGTTGCGGCTGTGGCCTCTCCTATAGCATGTCTACCCCTCTACTCCCCACTCAGCTCTCTAGAATACTACCAGTGACTGTCCCTTCTGTCACATGAACCCTTTCTTTTCCTCAGTGAACTCAGCATCCCAGGGCACATGAAGAGCATACGTGTTTGTGATAAGATGCTCTCTTCTCTCTTGCTGAAAAATCTAGCAAATCGACTAACTTTGCAAAGTGGGGTCAGTAGCCAGAGAGCACTGAGTCTTCCTCAAGCAACTCTTTGGAAGCCATAAGTCATGGGCATGAAGCCTGCCCACTGCACGGAACCATAGGACACACTGGAGAGTCAGCTGCTCGTCACATGTTTTCCCCTGGCAGGTCATCCTCCAACTGTCACAGCCCTTCTTTTCTTCTCTATCAGGTTCTGATGACGAAATACCCCACCCCTTCACTCTATAGCCCCGCCCCACCCCTCCACTCTATAGCCCCACCCACCCCACCTTCACTCTATAGCCCCACCCACCTTCACTCTATAGCCCTTTTTCCCCTGGCTTATGGATTCTTTATTCATTGACTAAATGGACACAGCCCTGTCCGGGGGAATTTAAAAATACATTTACTCAAAGCTTGCTTATCACTTATTTGTCAATACAAAGTTCTTGACTTAGGCAGGACAAAGCTTCTGTCTTTAGGAATTTGGTATCCACTAGAAGACACCTGTGATGGCTATTGTTGGTTTTCAACTTAACAACACCTGGAATTAACCAAAACCCAAGTGACTAGGTACATCTGATGTGGGATTTCCCTCTGTATGCTGTGATTACCATTAATGAATTAAAAAAAAAACTGCCTTGGCCTGTTGATAGGGCAGAACTTATGAGGAGGGGGAAACTAAATGACATGCTGGGAGAAAGAAGGCAGAGTTAGGAGAGATGCCATGTAGCCCGCTGGACACTGACACCAGAACTTTACCCAATAAGCCACAGCCTTGTGGTAATATACAGATTACTAAAAATGGGTTAAATTAAGATATAAGAGTTAACCAATAAGAAAACTAGAGATAATGAGCCAAGCAGTGATTTAAATAATATAGTTTCTGTGTGATTATTTAGGGTCTGAGCTACCAAGCTGCCAGGAACCAACAAGTAGCCCTCCTCCAACATAGATACATCAAAGGGATTTTTCTTAATTAAATCATTTGAAATGGGAAGACCCACATTTAATCCAGATCTTTTGAGGTGGAAAGACCCACCTTGAATCTGGGCCACACCTCTGCTGGCAGACTATATGAAGACATGGAAGAAGGAAGCTTGCTCTCTTTGCCTGCTACTCGCTCTCACTGACAAGTCCATTCCTTTCCCTGGCATTAGAGCATGCTTCTTCAGCATTCCAGTGTCTACTGAAGACCAGCCGAGACATCCAGCCTCATGGCCTGAGCAACTATTGGATAGCTGGACTTTCCATTGGTAGACAGGCTTTGTTGGACTAGCTGGACCACAGCCTGTAAGCCACTCTAGTAAGTCTCAGACAGACAGACAGACTGATGATAGATTCATTCTATCAGGTCTGTTCCTCTAGGGAACGCTGACCTGCAGGCAGGAACTGTTTCTCACTCCACCACAGCTCTGGGGAACCAGTATTCAGGCACTGCCACCACCCAACACTGTCTCATGGCCCACTGAGAAGAGCAATTGAACAGAGCTCTCCTGGCCCTGGTTTCTGACCCTTTCTTACCAGTCCATCCTGTCAACCGCAGCTGACCTTCCCCTAACCTCATGGAGTTAGAACTCAAGTTATCTGTTCCATCACTGCTCTCCTCCTGCTTAGGAACCAAATTTAAAAAGCATAGTGAAAGTGGTGACCTGGAGCCTGAGGGTGGCTCAGTGGTGGAGCCATGCTGTGGCATGTGTACCTAGCCCCCTCCCCTGCACACACAAATAAACATAAAAAATAAACTCTTGATAAATTTAACACATGCAGAGACACATAAACACAATGACTCTTGATAAATGTTACACACACAAGCACAAGCACATGCGCACATGTACAAAAAATTCAAAGACTCTTGATGTTATTATTACCTAGGTGACTTGTAAGATGAATATTCTAATATTAAACCATCATTAGATGCTAACTTTGTAGGCAAGGATTGACCCTAGAGCCTGGCATATACTATTACACACTCTATCACAGAGCTATACCCCGACTTTTATAACTGTGAAATAGGGTTTCACTAAGTTGCCCAGACTGACTTTAGATTTGTGACCGTCCTGGATTACAGGTATGTGCTTCCGTGAGCACTGTTCCATTAAGATGTGACTGGACTCAACCAGGAATCTTCCCTAGACTGCATCTGAACATGTGTGCCTATGTGGCACATGGGCATGCTTCCCTCTGTTTATTACCTTTGTCAGGCTTCCCTCAGGGGAACACACACTTGAACCAAGACACAGGTAAGAGCAACCTCTTCAAGACAATGGCTAGCAAAGGTTCTCTGTGGAGTCCTCAGTTCCTGGCCATTACCAAAGCCTCTCTTTTTTACTCCACTTACATCTTCCATCAGCTGTGCTTGGTCCCCTCTGGCAGTCAGCTCATCCTCCACTAAATATGCACAGCATCTGACAATGGCCTACATTTACAAGAATGAGGTTGTACATGGATTCGTTCTTCTCTAAATCTTGCACATCTGAGGTTAGAGTCTTTTCATGTGTGTGTATACATACATGTGTGCAGATTTTGTGTTCATGTGTGTGGAAGCCAGAGGACAACCTTGGATGATATCTCTAGAAATCACATATACCTCATTAGACAGGTTCTCTCCTTGGCCTGGAGCTTATCTGGTCCTCTTGTCCCTGCCTCTATAGTACCGGATTATAAGAGTGAGTCACCATGTTTCTTTTACCATGAGTTTCAGGCTGCAGCCCCAAGTCTTCGGGCTCCCACAGCAAATGCTCTCTGACTGGATCTTCTCTAGTGTTATACACGCACGCTTTGACACACTCTTGCCACAGGAGCCAAGTGCTTCTAGCTAAGTAATGCTCTTCAGAGAACCCACTTTCCCTTCCTCATCCAGTGCTCTGAGTTTATCTTTTATCTTTATGTTTCGTCTTTCTGGATCTTGTACTGGCTAGTTGCCATGGCAGGCAGCCCTCACTTCAGTCAAGACAGAGCAGCCAGCATTAGGGATAACCACAGAATCAGGAATTGGGTCGTGGGACCCAACTGGGTCAGCCTTACCTCAATGAGCTTCCTCTCATAGGAGCTTGCTAGTTCCTCAGCAACTTCCCCAGGCTTCTGTTCAGGGACTGTAACTTCTCCATCAACATTCCAAAGACTGGGTACAACTTTAAGAAAAGAAACACACTCAGGTAAGTGTCTTAACATGAATCAAGAATTACTCTCCCTTCATTTTAATGCATGTATTTAATTCATTTAATATGTATGCACATGTGTATGCAAGGCTACAATTTCTCCAGTGAGAAAGCTCTTGATAAGGGAAAACAATACAATTAGTAATTACTTCATCACTACAAAACCCTTACAGTAGAACAAAGCAAGGGAGAATAAACAGTCTTCTGAAGGTATAAGGGTTACTGGGTTCTGCACGAGTATTTGGAGAGTGGCCTCATCACCCTGGAAGCCTTGGGGGAAAGTATAAACATCTCAGCAGGGCACAAGCTGATGCACACATCTTTAATATTGGCCAAACTTGTTCTGGGAGATGGTACCTGCTTACAGTTTGCTATGGAATAGTACTGGTACGAGGTCCCAGGCTGTGGTGGTTTGAATGAGAACAGCCTCCATAGGCTCCTATGTTTGAACACTTGGTCCCCTGTTGCTGGGACTGTTTGGGAAGGATTAAAAGGTATGGCCTATTTCAGGAGGTATGTCACTGAGGACCAATTTGAGTTCTCAGAAAACTCAAGTCATTCCCAGTGTTCTCTGATTGCTGATTGCAGATCCAGGTGTGAGTTTTCAGCTGCTCCTGTGTCATGCCTCTGCTCTGCCATCATGGACTCTAGCACTCTGTCTAAGATGCTTTAGTCAGGGTGTTTTAGGATAGCAATAGAAAAGCAACTAATGCAGAAGTAGAACCAAGAGCCATATGTAAAGATTCCTTAGAACAGTGATTCTCAATCTTCCTAATGTGACCCTTGAACGCATATCCTCATGGTATGGTGATCACAAATCATAAAATTATTTTTATTGCTACTTCATAACTGTAATTTTGCTACTGCTATGACTCATATGCAGGATACTGATATGTAACCTCTGTGAAAGGGGCCACGACCCACAGGTTGAGAACCATTGCCTTTGAAGGACATCCAACAGCCTTGGGAAAGCCTGTGAAACCAGCGCATCAAATCACTGCAAGACCATGCTATAGGAAACTGGCCCCCAGGTCATTACGCACAGGCATGGTCACCCATTAGTGCCTGTTCTGTATTAAAGACCAAATAATTAAAAACTCAGAATGAGCCAGGAAGCTCCAAAGCCACTAAGAGAACAAAGCCAAGATAGGAGCCTGGAAAAGGAAAAGCCCAGTGACATGCTTTACAAACATGGGCCAGGCTCCGTTTCCAGCAGGTGCTAGGAATACAAGTCCTGAATGCCTACTAACCATATGGGATTATACCAGGGCAAAAGAAAGGCCTGAGGCAGCCCCAGTGACAGGAAGGGGCCTCCAGAACTGCAGTGCAAGCACTGGGACCTTGGAAGCTGCATGCGACCATGGCTGAGTTTCAGGCAGTTCAGTAACCAGGTGGCCATCAGCCATAGCTGGGCAGCCTACAGGAGAAGTATGGCCTCTGGTGACAGTGAAACACCCAGGGCTCTGAAACACTGAGCTGACTCTAACCTCCAGTGAAACCTGTATAACACTCAAGATACTTAAAGAAAACTTAGACTCCAGTAAAAGATGATCCAAGTAGCATGTTAAATTCATTCCCTTTAAGATCTCATTAAAGTATATATTGGTTTTGCTCTAGAGAAAAGGAAAAGGTGTGGAAGAAATGAAACAACAAGATGTGTGGAAGCTGAGAATCAGACAGGCAGAAAAGAGAATTTCAGCCCTGAACACAGGGCTGACTGTTCAAGCTGACTTGAACAGAATGACTCAAGAAAGACTGTACACTGTGAGACACACACCAGCCTGGGAGGCAAACAGGGATGGAAGATACCAAGGGCAAGAAGTCCTGTGAGAAGTTGCAGTCAGAAGACTGGTCTGCTCTGAGAAGAAGCTATCAGTACATCTGGGCTGAGTTGAAAGTTAGGATGCATTACTGAAAACAGGGAGGTGAAGCTAATCCACAATGAGATTGTGAGATGTCCCAGTCTCCTCTCCTAACCCTACTTGCTCCCTGAATAGCAGGGACCCATCATGTATCTCCCAAGCAAGGTGACAGGAATTGGATCCTCCTAGGAATCCAAGGAGCTCAACCTGAGGAGACTCTGGTGGAACTGTCACCAGGAACAAGACAGTCAAGTAGACCTGTGGTGGTTGTGGTGGTGGTAGCAATGGTGGTGGTAGCAGTGGTGGTGGAAGCGGTAACAGTGGAGGTGGTGGAGGTGGTGAAGAAGGTGGAGGTGGTAGAGGTGGTGGTGGAGGTGGTGGTGGTGGTAGAGGTGGTGGTGGTAGAGGTGGTGGTGGTGGAGGTGCTGGTGGAGGAGGTGATGGTGATGGTGGTGGTGGAGGAGGTGATGGTAATGGTGGTGGTGGAGGAGGTGGTGGAGGAGGTGCTGGTGGAGGAGGTGGTGGTGATGGAGGAGGTGGTGGTGATAGAAGTGGAAGAGGTGGTGGTGGTAGAGGTGATGCTGGTGGTGGTAGTGGTGGTGAAGAAGGTGGTAGAGGAGGTGGTGGTGGAAGAGGTGATGGAGAAGGTGGTGGTAGAGGTGGAGGTGGTGGTGGAGGTGCTGGTGGAGGTATTTGAAACCCCTGGCTGCTTCCTGTGGACTTAAGCCAAACACCACCATGGAACCGTGCTGTGGACAGACTGGCACTTTAAGATTTGTCTCATTTGGTCAGAGAACGCTGCAGATGCACAAAAAGCCAGGTCCAAACCAAGAAAACCTCTAAACAGACACAGTATGCTTCAAAATATGCTTAGATGCTTGGGGGGGATAAGCTGGAGAGAAAACCTCTAAACAGACATAATATGTCTCTAAAATGTGCTAAGATGCTAGAGAAAAAAAGAAAATAGATATTGAAGTGATAGAAAAATAAATAGTTTAAAAATAATAAAGCAAAGTCTGTAAAGAGAGAGTAAAGTGATATAAAAAGAATTAGCCACATATGGATGGGAAATACCATTACACAGGGCATGTGGATCAGATAGAGTGCTTTGTAAACTTTAAATACTTTAAATGCTAATGAACAGAAAAATAGCTGCTGAGAGATGAAGAGGAAACAGGAGGTAGAGACAGAAGAAAGGTAATACCACATGACAGATCACAGACTAAAATAAATGGATTGATTAATTTAAGTTATAAGAGGTAATTGAGAACAAGCCTAAGCTAAGGCTGAGCTTTCATAATTAATAATAAGTCTACTGTCGTTATTTGTGAGCTGGCAGCACAAAGAAAATTCTAACTACACCCATCTGTATGTCGGATGCTTGCATTGTGATTCATTACAGTGGCAAGGTCACCACAACATGGGGATCTGTGTTGAAGGGTCAGAGCATTAGGATATTGAGAAGCACTGGCTTACAGACTGTCTCTCTGGACCTAAAGTCTATTCAGGCTTAAAAATGTACTCCTAGCCTCCTTGTCTTTGTGAACTTTGCTAAGCTTCAGCTATTTTGATAAGCTGAGTCATATAAGAAACTGTTAAATTCTATAATGGTATACTCTAAAAAAATCAGGAGAGTTCGCAGTCTCTTTGTGGACTATATCTATGAGTTAAAACTTTTATTTTGATAATAAAAGGAGATACAATTTGGAAATTATTTTTAAGGCACAAACGTAGCAGAGATAAGGCTTTAAAATATTAATCATATAAAAAGCTATCAATTTACTGTAAATTGTTAAAGATGATTAAGACACACAAATTAATGGATCAAATTATTTGATATGTTCAGAACTATACTTGTAGTCATACTAAATACTAATACAATTAATTATAGGAAAAAGTTTCATTGAGCTTCCTATGTGTGTGTTTTCAAGGTTAAACCTAATACAAGTAACTAGAAACAAGCAAAGGTGGTTTAGTGTAGATATACCTAATAGATAATGGTCCTCAAACTTGCCAGATATCAGCTGAATATAGAACTTAAAATGTTAAATGCAAAAAAGGTTACCATAACAGACAGAGAACCCCCAGTTCCTAGTGGTGACCACAAGGTCTCCAAAAAAAGATGATGGTTCACAAAGACTTCACCTGAATTGTGGTGACCCTTACCACTGGGCATAATTTCCCCAATGCCCTAACTGCTGCCAGGACCCTACCTGTACTGGCTTGTTTTGTGTGTCAGCTTGGTATGCATGGTACAGTCATCAGAGAGGAAGGAGCCTCAGTTGAGGAAATGCCTCCTTGAGATCCAGCTCTAAGTCTTTTTTTTTTCCCCAAACACATTTTATTATCAGTCCATCATGTTCAGTTTTAAAAATCCTTCTGGAAATTTTTTTTATTTATTTATTAAAGATTTCTGTCTCTTCCCCACCGCCGCCTCCCCTTTCCCTCCCCCTCCCCCAATCAAGTCCCTCTCCCTCGTCAGCCCAAAGAGCAATCAGGGTTCCCTGCCCTGTGGGAGTCCAAGGATCACCCACCTCCATCCAGGTCTAGTAAGGTGAGCATCCAAACTGCCTAGGCTCCCACGAAACCAATAGGTACAGTAGGATCAAAAACCCATTGCCATTGTTCTTGAGGTCTCAGTAGTCCTCATTGTCCGCAATGTTCAGCGAGTCTTTTTCTCAATTAGTGGTCAATGAGGGAGGGCTCAGCCCATGGTGGGTAGTACCATTCCTGGGCTGGTGATCCTGGGTTCTATAAGAACACAGGCTGGTCAATCCAGGGACACAAGCCAGTAAGCAGCACCCCTCCCTGGCCTCTGCACCAGCTTCTGCCTCCAGGTTCCTGCCCTGCTTGAGTTCCTGTCCTGACTTCCTTCAGTGATGAACAGCAATGTCAGAGTATAAGCTGAATAAACCCTTTCCTCCCCAACATACTTTATGGTCATGGTGTTTAATCACAGCAGTAGAAACCCTAAGACACCACCCAAACTGTGGACAAGCAGTACAAAGTGGATTGCGCCACTTTGCCTAGACAAAGTAATGACAGTCCCTCACATGCTCCTCCTCCACAGGAAAAGTCTCTCAGGTCTCCGTGGCCTGGTGGCCAAAGATT